ATAGGCGACTGGCAGGGGGGGCACATCCCCCCTCCCCCCCCAGCACGGCCATCTGCACTGCCGATGCTGCTGGCAGTTTCTATGGGTGCTTGCCAGTTCTGTCCCTGCCACCGATGCCGGCTTTGGCTTCTGCGAGTGCCCCCTCAGACTTAGGAGGCACCAGTCGCCCATGATTGTAGTGGTGAACATGGTGCTTATGTAGGTGTGTACTACAGCAGGAGGGAGGGGATGCAGGCATGTAGTCACGTCCATATGGCATAGGGGTCATGGGCTGGTAGGCCATACTGGTGCAGCCCCCAGAATTTGTGTCCCCTGGCCTACTTAGAAGTTGGACAGCTTTGATTCATAGATTGTAACGGACCTCAGAAGATCATCAGGTCCAGCCCCCTACAACAGGCAGGACAGACAACTGGGGTCAGGTGACCCCAGTGAGATGACTGTCCAGTCTCCTCTGAAGATTTCCAGGGTAGGCAATTGCACCACCTCTGGAGGGAGCTTATTCCACATCCTGGGCACCTTAACTGTGAAGAAGTTTTTACTGAAGTTGAACCTCAAACGGTCTTCCAGGAGTTTGTGGCCATTACTCCTGGTTTTCCCCATGGATGCCCTGGTGAACAGTTGTTCACCGAGCCCTTGATGTACTCCCCAATATAGTGGTAAGCTGCTACCAAGTCTCCTCTCAGCCTTCTTTTTTTGATGCAAGACATTCAAAACTTAGAAGCAGAGTATGATACCTCACACATGCAAGCTTGTGCTTAGCTGCATATGAACTCTAAGATGTTGTGAAACTGCTGTTCAAATGTGAAAAGATCACTTTACAGTGTTTACTGTGGGATGTTAAGTGTCTCTGTTGCTGAGCACAAGCTTCTCTCAAGCAGGTGACTGTGAACCGTGCCTTTTAATGAGTAAAGATCTATATTTAAGATACCAAAATGGCATCCTTACCATGTTCCATCTGAATAGTTAAATAAGAAGGAAAAAAAACCACAGCCCTACAGAGCTATCCCAGTGAAGTCCAGTCAATGAAGTAGGCCTTTAGAAAAAAGTACTAGCAGAAATCTCCTATACTGCAAATGTGACAAGCTGCAGTTGCAGAAAATATGAAACAGGTTTGAAATCACTATTAGCCCCAAGCCCACCACTCAGAATATCAGGCCTCAAAGGGAACTGTTGATACTGTATAAGATTTTTTAGCCAACTGGAAATCCACTGACAGCCAAAATTACAAGGAAAAACAGGAAACCTATGCATAAAAAGTGCACACCTTGACATTACCACAGCCGCACTAAGATTAGTTTGCTGCTTCTTTTTTAACCCAAGTGCCTTTGTTCAAAGTTAAGTGTGTTGACAATAATGACCAAGTCAAAGTCAAAATAAATGCTAATAAGAAATAAGGCAGTACAGCTTTATATAATGGATTAACAAGAATTTTAACTATTTTCCTTCATATCCCCTTATTTTTTTGTAATACAGTAAACCAATTTAAGGGAAAAAAATACTAGTATAGTAGTTCAGAAAAAAGATTATGAAAAAGAATATTTGTGCAGTAGTCAAGAAAAAAATCTAGTGAATTATTTTAAGTTCCTTAATTCTAAAGCAGAGTGACTGTTTTGTAATGAAATACATTTTAAAACTGTTGCAACAATTGGGATTAGGATCCAACAGAAGACAGTCCCTGCCCCTAAGAAATCACAAACTGAATGGCAGAGACTGACAGAGGCGGGATGAGAGGGATCAAGCCCCAAATCAAAGAGCTTCCACCCATCAGATAAATTCAAGAATGCTCACAGAAGCTGTCACTGGAAGAAAAATAAAGCAGATATATAAAATAGCACAAATAAAAAGTTTAAGAGGACACGGCAAATTTAAAAATTATAAGTTCAGATGCAGATGTCCAAATATTAAGTGAAAAAACGCTTGTTCTTAAGAACTCTATAACAAGATCTAAAATAAAACTATAGGATGAAAAATCTATACTTGAAAGGGCGTTTTATTTTTATTTTTTTAAAAGCAGACGGCTTAAAAATGCGTGTCTCTCCTCAATTTGTTTTTTTGTTATCCTATATAGCTTGTGAGCAATAATACTGACTATAGGTACAAAATTCAGCATCACAAGGTAAAATGGAGAAAAGATACTGCGTACTTGCCATTCATTACTAAATGTGTAAAAATGGAAGATAAGTTTTTACACAATCACTACAAAAGTACTTGGTATTTCTGTATTCCTTTTTTTTTTTTTAAATACATCAATTTACAAAGCTAAGTAAGACTGAAAAGAGGAAACATTAGTAAGTTTCCAGTTACATGCCACTCTTACCTGTAAGGGTAGGAGAGTGTTACTGTTGTTGTCAGTTCGGAAAACATTATCTTCAATCCATGATTTTGGTGTCAGCGATGGAGTAGAGCGAGTAAATTTAGGGGGAGCTATGACATTACCAGAAAAGGGCTTCTTCAAAGGAGAGATTTGGTTCATAGTTCCTGGAATTCCCATGTTTCCAGTTCTACGATGGTCTCTGCCATGCATTCCTCCCCAGGATATATTTCCTGTGCTCCAGCCACTACTTTGATTGCTCCAAGGTGACTGCTTCAGAAGAGGCTAAAGAAAAAAACCCAAAAATAATTAGATTATTTCGGAAACATTACAGGTTTGCTTTTTTCCTAAAAAAGAAGAAGAAAAAAAAGAAAACCCCTCAAATGACTTTTGTGAACTAGACCTCACTATTTGCCTGTAAACATACTACTAAGCAAAGGAGAAAATGAAATACAGAATGATTACTCTACAAAAAAGGCAGTAATGGTGCAAGAACCTTTTTTTAATTTCTTGGCAGAACATTCCTACAGTTAAATGCCCTTTACAACAAAGCTGCCATTTTCGCCATATTGCTGACCTCGCTTGCGTTAGATAGGTAGGCCTCTGTTTGGCATGCCTCTGAAGAACAGCACTGTGTGGTTTCAGGTTGATACGAATCTTTTTTTTTTCCCCTTGTGAAGGAAAAGAATTGAGAGTTGCACAAAGAAAATATATTTAATGCACCAATCTATAATAAACGTCAAGTAAGAAGGACAAAGCAGGCTGGCTTTCCTACACAGAATATGCATAATCCAAGACCATACTTTAAAACTATCACTGACATGATTAAAGATGGGATTTTTTTTATCTTTAGAAGCCACAGCTTGAATTTCTGGTGTAACAGATAAAATCATCAACTTATCTGATAAAAATCAGCTTTGCTTTGTCAACGGAGATAAGATAACTTCTTCCAACTGAGGAATCTAGGGGTTTTGGGGGGCTACCACAGAGGAAGGCACCTTGTATGTTCTCTGAAGGCAAGATAGCAGTTTGTTGGTGACAAAAGCCATCTTTGACAATACTTTTCTAGAAGTGAAAACAGATAAACTTTTGACTGCCTCCAACATGTAACCTAAAAAATTTGGAAGTATAATAGTTGTCATGCTACCAAAAGGTGGACCCACTGAGCTCTGGCAGTAGTAAGCTGCAGCATTTGTCTGGTATGTTTAAAATCCGGTTTTGGGAAAGACCTCTCTCAAAACACTCAGATCGTCCAAATCAGGTGTTCATACATTCTAATTTCCAATCAAAATAGGGTTTAATAACCGTACCTCAAAGATGGGTTGTAAACAACCCTGGCACTTGTAACTCAAATGACATGCAAATAGAATCAAAGCACATCACACATTTAACTACACATTACTATTAAATATTCCTTTTAAAAAAGTGAAGGGGGGTGATGGGGCCCACACACAAAAATAAAATTCATCTCTTAAAATTACTGAAGCCGCTGTGGTCAGACACACAGGCAGGCAGCTCCGTTCTGAATAATGAGGTGTAAAACTTGAATGCTCTGGCTGGAATTTGGGAGAGCCGGCCGCTCCATTGTGAAATGCACTTGAGAGGGAATGTCAAATGTTAATAGGTCTTTAATTTTAGCAGCTCTGCTGTCACATCTGTCTCCAGGTTTACTACCTACAAGCAATAAACAAGCTGGGAAGTGCTAGAAGGAGATGTCCCACACATCTCAATGACGGGAACAGTTGCTTTGGCCATTACAACCAGTAAGAAGGACCAACAGCACCTCTCTCCTTCATGCAGCACCCTTCCAACAGAGCACCCAAACCCGTGTATCCTCCTGTACGTTTGTTTATTTAATTTGTATCAGAGGCCAAATTAGTCCAAACTAATTCCAAACCTAGGAGTCCAGAACCATAAGTGGCCCTACTACCAGCAAATATCCTCCACCCGCACCTGGGACTTCAGATGTTCCCAAACCCTTTGGCAGGCATCCTACTTGTAGGTATCCAAGCCCCAAGCCTCCGGGTGTGGGCCTGCAAGTTTTGCTTGCCCTCAGCCATACAGCCCTCAGAGCAAGCAAGGGAAAGGACTCCCGTTTCCATAAACTGGGCATAAAGCCGCAGCACCTCGGCAGGTACTGAACCACGCCAGAAGAGCAGCTCTCCTGCGAGGCATTTCAGGAAAACTTCCTTCTCAGACACAGATCCATTGCCCCCGCCAGGTTAAGAAGCCACGACGCTTGATCTAAGCCTTCAAGAGGCCAAGAAGTGAGAAGCATCCTCCTGTAGTTCTACCTTCAAAGAATGAACGTATTTTACACACACACACAC